AATTGATAGAAAGAAAGCCAAGTTTTTTTTTTTTTTCTGGGTGCAAGCCACCCTATTATAGCCACCATATTATATTTCTTGATGCTAGCCATGGTTTGCAATCATCAAGATCAGCGCGTGCCTTTAGCTTCCATATTATAAGTTAATTTTACAGTAACATAAACTAAAGCAGACAACCAAGTATTTATAATATCACAGCTATGGAAAACCCAATCTTTTTTCAAGTTTTTGTACGAATTCTTCAATAATATTCAAGTGATTATAATAAGCTCGAATAAAACACCTACATTATCATTGCTCAAAGATGCATGCTACCATAGCGTCAAGCCAAAGTATAATTGCACTAACTTGAAAACCACACAGTAAAAAGGGTTCAGGAGGAAAATCAAATCGCTACAGAAACCTGTGGCACAAGAAAGAAAGGACAAAAAAAGAAAGATAAGGCACATTGTTTTACCAAACGAAAAAAAAGGATAGACCCCTTCATTTCTCATATCCAACATCCCCTATACATTTGTTAGCCACAATACCCCATTGCTATGCAACCATTTCTCCAGCCTACACTGAGACTACACTAAGATGCTGCAGCATTGATGTCTAGTCACCTACAACACGACCATTTTACCACTCTGAAGCTAAATTTTCTCCCCAACGTTAGACGATCCAAACATTAAGATATTCATCTCCAAAGGGAACACAATGTCGAAAGTTCCTGGCAAGCCTTTAGCTATCTAAACAAATCTCCAATTCTGTGAGGTGATGTTAGGCGTAATCTAATTTTGGGAGACAAAAAAGTTTAGAGATAGTTAGAACTGCCTGAGAGCTTAGGCTAGATCACATGTTAGTCATGGCAAGCAAAACTGCATTTGCTCTGAACATATCCACACCAGAAATATTGTTTGTCAGGCAGTTCACTGCAGACCGCTAGGCATACCAGTTGCAGGTATAGAGGTTGTTTGGGGGGATGTGAGATTAACCATCATATCACCATTCTCCAAAGCACCCACTGGTCCTGCACTGCCCTTGACAGTTTGCTCCAGAAGTTGAACAAGCGACATAAATATTTCCATCCTCGTTATATCCCTGTTTGCCTGCATATGACACTTCAATTTAGATAACAGAATGCGAAGATAGTAAAAGAAGCACCTATTAGACTCATGTAGTATGGCTTCCAGAATGGAGGGCGAGGAAGCAGTCATTGTTATGCACATGATATTTACCAACAATCTAAAGGATAAATTCTGAAACTTAGACTGTAGCTTGGTCATTTGCATAACACATACAAGTGCAAGTCAAGACATTTTGATCAGGTTTATACATTTCATTTCCCCTGGTCTTGTAGTTCTAGATCAAATGTGAAAGAAAACACTCATTTGGTCATATTATTAGTTTATACATCTTCCCACCTTGAAGATGAATAGAAGAAATGGTAAAAAATGAAGCCCAAACGCATGCACAAAGCATAGCATATCTGAAATTTCAAGTTCATTGCAACACTTACCCTCATAAAAATTTTCACAAAGAAATGAATAATTATTATTGTTCAAAGAGAAAGTCTGAGAAAATTTTGACTAAAATTCCAGCTGTAATGCTCTTTAACATTAAAATGAACAAAAATCGCATTCGTAAACAGCCACGGCAGCTAAACAGTCAAATAAAAAGAAAAATATTGCATCATGCTTGCTTTCTTCATAAAATACATGGTTATCAGAATCACAATCCAAACGATGCAAGCAGACCAGAAATTCTTTATTTTTCCTCAAAATGCCTCCATAGGGCAACAAAGATGTAAAATGGACATAGATTTTTTCTTCTCACAATAAACATGCAGTTAGAAACACAAAAGCTCGATGCCTTTAGGTAAAGGAGTCCTTAATGTATTCATTTATATCAAGAAAAAAAAAAAAGATCAAAGCCTTGATGTTGTTTGCCAGAAAAATCAACACCCTAGTTCAGTCAAGGAATAAAAGTTCACCAAACCATTCTTTGCTACCTATCAAAAAGTCATCTTGTTCATCCATTTATAATGGGATAATGCAAAAAATCAAAGCAAGACTGAAAAAATCATCCAGTTACAGCCATCACAACCCTTGTGAATGAATAAACAATAACATGGATTCATGAGATAAATGATGCAAAGTAACATGGTTGATTAAACTAAAGGAAATATTTGGATGTGCTCACTAGTGATGCCAAGAAATAATCATTATTTGCTCCAACTTTTGACTAAACTATATTTAAGAGGCATCCCATATGTTTTTCATATGAACAGATGGGCACAGTTGAATTACTGAACTTGATTGTTTCCAACTAAAAGTGTGTGAATAAGAAGCTGCTGGGAAGATAATCCAACAATGTGAGGACACCCCACATATTCCTTCCATAAGGGGTTACTTGGGAATGACAGTTGATTAGTGCACACAGTGTTTCAGTTTAGAATCCTACCTCTACTGCAAAACATGCCCAGATCTTGTCATTCCGAGCTTCCATCACCCCCTTCAAGATTGTCAATCCCAATCCCCTAATTAAGTCAGCTATCTCTAAAAAGAAACCTCGTTCTTCACAAAGCATCTGTCAAAAGAGGAAATATATGATTGGAAATAGAGGATAAAAGAAACTTTTTAAAAACGAACAGCTCCATAGCTGAGCAAAGAAAAAAAGGCATTACCTCCACGAGCATCTGGCGAGGTGGATTCAGATCCTCAACGATGATAGGACAGACCATAGACCGTGAACCAACTTCAAATGCCCACGTTGCTCCTCCCTCAAAATTGTCCTTCAAATGGAGTCCACCTTCCTTGTTAATAAGCTGCATATTTACACAAGAATAAAATACAGTCAGAAACATTTTACTCTTGTTAGTAACTGTGCAAAAGTACAAAATGTCAAAAAGCTAATGTAGATATAAGAGTAATTTAATCATTTCCAAAACACAGTGTGCATAAATCTTGACCGATGTCCTTGATAACTGTACTTAATAGGACAAGATATCCTCATATCATGTTTATGCCTATTAAATTTCATAGGCATTCTCCATCCCGGATCGCAATACCCATTCGCAGCAGTACTTGACAAAGTTTCCACAAAACATGAGCAGGTGATCCCTCTATTGGGTTTAGAAAGGGCAGCAAAAATAGAAACACCCATCCAAATTAGCATGGAAAACATATAGATAGTATATGTAATCGATACCTTCGAGTCCCCAGTTTGTTTTAGCTTATCTGCATGCTTTGTCACACTTTGCAAGAAAAGCATATGCTTGATGGTGCGTTCAAGCAGAGAATCTATGCTACACTGTTAGACCACAGTAACACAAGAAAGAATAATATAACATTAACTATCAAAATTAATTATCAGATGAAAAAAGACATGCAGCATAAGGATTAGAGAAATGCATTACTTTTGCTCCATTTGGCACAATCTCGCGCAACTCCTTTACCCGATCTTGGATCATCTGCCGATCTTTGGGCCTGGGTCTCAGGTTCTCTCCAGGTTTAAGCCTTTTATGATTTGGTTTGCTTGTTGCGTCATTTTTCTTGGAAAATGCAGTTGAAACACTGCTATCATGCCATGCTTTATGGCCCTGCTCAACCCAGGAACTCAGCTGGGACCCGTAGATGGAAGTAGTTTGAGAATAACTTCCAGCATCATCCTTACTGCAGCCAGATCTAAAAGAGGTAGATGCTATGGTCCCTGCTTTTCCAGGCAGGCTAATTAACTCCCTCTGTACCCGATCAGCCATACCAATTGAGCCATAGGTGGGAGAACCACTGGGAAAGGATGACGCACTGATCTTTGTCAATGATGTCTTGCAAGACACATTATCATCTGAGCTCTGCTTGGCAGCAGCATGCACCCTAGATACCACAGCATCTAAAAGATCAGTACCCATGTCAGAGAACATATTACTGTCTGATATTCCTTCATTAAGTGAAAAAATATCAGAATTTGCCTCCCGGATACTCGTAAATGCTAAAGCATCGTTAACCATATCTTGTGTCTTCACACATGCCTCTTCCCGAAGTAAATTATTCCACTGGTCGTCGAGTAGTTTGTTTTTAAAACCCACGCCCAAAATATCATACAAGTCATCCCCAGATGGAAGTTGAGCACATGGCTCATCAATCATAGCATTTACAGTAACCGTATTCTGACTTCCAGAAGCATTCTTCAGGCAATCATTAACAGGACCAAGGATTTTCTCACCCAAATATATATGTTCCCCTGGTTGAGTTAGTGGGATGTTAAGTGCTTGAAACAAGTCGCTATCAACCTTTTTTTCCATAGCAGGTATTTCATTTTTAATAGGCTTCACATCTGGGGGATAATATTCATGATTGGAACTCCCTGAGAGAATGCCACTCGCACTAAAACGACCCAACAGACTGGATAAATGAACCTCCTCTGCCCTTGATGAACCAGCATTTTGAATTCCAACCCCTGCCAGAAAAGTGGACGAGTGATTAAGATCTGCCAACTTCTGCAGTTTCAATAACGAGCACGGAATTGAGTGTGGTCTTGTCTGACCACCCATTTCATTAGGTAACTGTCCAGATATATGAGAACCTCCAGGAGAAGTAAGAAAAAGGCCTCCATTTGTCCTTACATGGGACATAGTAAGGCTATCTGATTCACTTTTATTGTGACCAACATGATTTTGAGCACCCGCATCAGAGAAAATCTGCCGTTCCAGTAATTTTATTATGTTATTGTTGGTATCTGATTGACTAATAATTGGTTGATGATTGAATTCAGGTCTTGAATCAGTCTGCTGGTTCAATAATGCACCAGGATTTGAGGGGATTACTTCAGCTCCAACCACTCCATCAGGTAGCTGGCCCATGGATGGATTGTCTGGCTTCATCACTGGAATAATCTTTGGTTCACAGAAGTTATCACAAGATTTAGCCAAAGTTTTAGTCACGTTATGGATATGAATAGCTGAAGAAGTAGCAAGTTGATTATCCTGAATCTGTCTTGGTTGAGAACATGAAGGTCGACCAACAATTCTAGAAGCTGCCTGAGATGAGATTATTTGTTGGTTGAAGCTGTCTGCCAAGTAAGGAGTAGAGTTTGGCACCTTATAATTTCCAGAAAAACACACAGGAAGAGGCATTCCACAGGAAATAGGTATTCCAATTCTTTCTGTAGATTCATTTTCCATGTGGTTGTCAGACAGAAGGGCTCCAGGGATGCACCCTATTTGCAGGATCGAACTCTTCACAATGTTCACAAATCCAATATTCTCCGGAATCTGAAACAGTAAAGATAATATAATAAAATATATGGAAAGCAACAGGCAAACTGCTTTGACATAATGAACAAGTAACCAATGCAATAGAATATTGAAAATTACAAGTATAGCCATAGTATCAGTGGTGAAAAATAAATTTTCAATTGGACACCTTTATAAAGCAAGCAGAGTGGAAATGACTAACCTATAAGAAAAATATCCTTACCAGCAAGTGAAGTGAAATTACATACACATGATAACATTGGAATTTGAAATTCAATTCATTGTCACATCAAAGAAACTGAATAGCAAGGACTTACAGCCAAGGAAGAACCAAGTTGAAGTACTCCATAAGGACAAACAGGAACAACAGCAATTGTCTGCAAGACAATTAAAATCACTTCCATGGAAAGCAGATTAAAGATTATTTCAGAAATTAGAACATACAGAAAGCTAACAAACCTGCATCCCAGCTGAAAACTGGAGATGTGCCTCATTTAAACCCTGTAGAACACAAGATTGAAGTTATAACAGGTTTAACCACCAACAGTGCATTTCAGAGAGGAAAAAACAGTCATGCTGGTATTGCATTGAGATGTTTTATTGTTAAACTTTCATCAAAATCATTACTCATTCAAATGTATAGACCACTTAGGTCATTTTTGGTAGAAAAAAATGGAAAATACAGTGTGATACATATCATCAGTAGAGTTTCTGTACTATGATTATACAGGAGAAAAGAAAATGAATCCAACTTTCAATGGACTCCAGATGGCAAGTTGTGCAACCCAGTATAGATAATGGACACAGATTATGCAATATTTGGTGCTACAAAACTCTATGCCACAGCACTGGAAGATAAAATTATGTTAGCATACTTCTGGGGGATGGGCATCTCTACAGCAATTGTTTGCAAGAATCCACTCATGGTTTCCTGTAAAAGCAGCCCGGCCGACAATTCTGCAAAATTAAAAATCAGACTTTCAATAGGGAAAATGGATAAGGCAGTGAAAATGTGAAACTAAATCGTAAGATACACGAAAAAGAAGAAATACATACCCTTCACCAACTATAATAACCTGATTATTTGCCATCATTTTGTTAATAAGCAGACGGAGTCTATCCCCCTCATGAACTCCAAACTGTGAGGAATGAACCTCAGAACCTAAGTATCCTTCCCTTTCTCTGAAAGGCAGTACTAGGTTCTCAGTTCCAGAAGTGCTTGGTGAAACTGAACATAATGTTGATTCGGAGTTACATTCCTCCCAAATTAACAACCTGCAGATTAATAAAATATGTTAAGATCATTCAAATCAATAACCGAATTTGGGCAAGTAACTAAGACCAAAAAACAAAATAAATCACAGCTTCTGTCTAGTTGCCAAAAAGCCAAGATAAAAAACAAAATCAGATCCCATGTTCTGCTATGATTTTTCTTCCCTTTTTTACAACATCTTCTTAGAATCCAAACAGAAGGTAACAAAAAATTAAAGTCACCAATCAGCAGAATCTTCAGTTGCTGATAAAAGGGTAACTATTTCTTTCAGTTCGAAACCAAGATAACAGGACAGAATGGAATCAAACAAACAAAGACAGATAGAATCAGTCGATTTCACGAACACGAAATCAGTCAATACAGAAGGGGTGTAGTCAAACCAATACAAATCAGCTTTTACTGAGATTCTTAAAGACAAAACAGAATAAACCAAAACACAAGGATCCAGAAACAGAACGAAAAAGAAAGGGTCTATTGGATTGCGCATCCTACATAAGACAACAGTAACCAATCAGACTTCTGATAAAAAAGAAAAGAAAAAAAAAGGGAACAACCAGCCTGTAACATATCATTCAAAGACCAAGATAGCCCAAAAAGAAAAAACACAAATATAAGACCCTCTTTGTTTGGTCCCTCAGAAAACACATAAAGAAAAAGAAAACCCAGAATCCTATGCTAACACCATGACAGACCAAAAGATAAAATCACTCATCAGATCCTCTTTGTTTGGTCACTCTGAAAATACAAGAAATGTACAGTAAAAATAAAAGAAAACACCAAAAACAAGTGTTTTCCCTCTATTTATTCATCAATCAAACAGAAAAACATACACACACAAAAAAGGAATGTCCAAAGAAGTAAAACCCAGAAAACAAAAGGTCCAAGTATATTCCACGTTACACTTCTGTTTCCCTTACATTATCCTCCATTTTCTTAGCAACCAAACAAACAAGCAAAAGAAATAAGGGGGGAAAAGCACTTACTTAGGATTCTGGTATCCGATCTTCCAAAAAACAGCATAACACCATTGATTAACACAACAAAGTTTCTTCAAAACTTCTCTCAACAAAAGACCCATCTCACAACTTCAACTCGCTGACCTCCAAACCAAGGCTTTTCTTAAACCTTAAACAACAACTTAATAGCATGAAAAGAGTAACAAAAGTGAAGTCACTGTTTTGTGACTGGTCAGTGCCAAAGACTGCACATTTTTTGACAGTCTAACTTCCACGACAGGATCCTCTCCCAGCCTGTTTAGTTCTAAGACCACCACTCCTCTTTCTCTCTGGATCCAAGTTCACTGATATGACCATTCTCTTGCAAGCCATATTCCCACCACCGACACAGAAAAACCCACGAAGGTTTTTCAAACAAGAGAGCCAGAAATGTCTCTAAATTCCTAGATTATGCCACAAGCTTCTAGCTGGAAGGTGGCCTTGATTTGCTCCATTTTTTACACACAAAGAGAAGAAAAGAATGAGAAGAAAAAAAAGACTTAAATCTTTGAGGAGGGAATGTGTAATCTTCTGTTCCTTCGTGCTCTCTATGGCTTTGGTTTTTGGTTTCTTACTTTGGTCTAAGTTTTCAGGATGTCGAGCTTGCTTTCTTTGTCTCTTTCTTTCTGATAATATTCTCTTTTCTATCGTGTTGTGTTGTGTCTTTAAACAGGAATTGTTTTTCACAGGTGTTAAAAAAAAATACTTCTTAAATATTAATTGCTTCAAAAAAAAAAAGAATAGTAGCATTACTCTTTCTACAAATCGGTGCATGTAGAAAAAAATATAAATAAAATATTTTCATCATTTCTAATAAGTAATAGATTTTAATTCTTTCTTCTTTTTATATTTTTTTGTTTTTTCATAGTAGACTAATAGAATAATTTTCAAGCTCTATAAATTTATCAAGTTTAAGAATAAATCTATTTTTAAAATAATTTTAAAGATATTTTTTTAAATTATGTTCATAAAAAATATTCATTTAAAATTAAAATCGTAAATTCAATCTCATTCAAGATATTAAATTAAAAAGCTCATAATTCAAAATTTAATTCGGAATTTTAAATTAAACAAAAAACAAATATTAACTCAATAATAAAATATAGTTAATTTAATTAATTAACCTTGCACACAAATTAAAAAAAGAATTAAAAAGGTATAAACTTAAAAAAAAAAAAACAATATTTTAATAAAAATTATTTACTTAATTAATACAGTCACTCCACAAAGTAACCCAAAAATCCATACTGATCAATTTCAAAACATGAGAAAGGAACAAAATCTATTTACTGTTGATTTAAGGTGTATTTGACATTGTATTTTAAAAATATTTTTAAAAAATTAAATTAATATATTTTTTATATTTTTAAATTATTTTAATATGTTATTTTAAAAATAATTTTAAAAAAATAAAAAAAAATATTAGTGATATATTCTTCTGAGCACAGTTATAAGAGGACAAGGATGGAATTACCTGGGGAAAAAGTATTGATTTAAGAGAAAATTACAAGCGATGCCACTGACACTAGTTCTTAAAATAGGTGTCAGAGACAACAGTAGTGCAGGTTACTGCTCCATGACGTCATGCCCCTGCTTGCCATAACTTTTTGTCAGAATTACGTAAATGATTTTTTCTTTTTCTTTTTCTTTTTCTTTTTCTTTTTCTTTTTTGCTTTTGTTTGTAGCGAACTTGTTGGTGGCGTGTGGGTGGGAGGGGGTGATAACATATAACAGTGTGATGAAGGATTGGAGAGGTGTTGATGTTTGTTAACGAGGGAATGGCGATGATGGGTTATGATTGATTACAGCCCCCTCTTATTGAAAAAAAAAAAAAGTGATTGTTTATTGAATGAAATAGTAGTTATTTTATAAAGTATTTTTTATTAAAATATATATTAAAATAATATTTTTTAATATTTTAAAAATTATTTTTTATATTAATACTTTAAAATGATATATATATATATATATATAATTTTTAAAATAAAATAAAATTTAGGGATTCCAAGCATCCTCTTCAATAGTTTTTGACACTTCTTTAATTTTTATCTCTTTCACTCCCTCTTATTCTATTTATTTTTATGATAAAATTATACTTTTAAAAACTTTTAATTTTTTTAGGTTTCTTTTTTTTACAGAAAAGTTGTTTTTCTTTGGAAAGTGAATTTCAGAGAAAATGAATTTCTGGAAAGTGAATTTATTTTTCGATATTTTGTAGTATTATGAAAAATAAACTGAAAAAAACTTCCTAGGATTTGGTTATGTTATGAAAAATGAACTAGAAAAATAATTTATTAATATTTTATTTTTCTTAAATTTATTAAAATAATGAGTAACAAGTCTTACAAATTAAAAAATTGAATAAGAATGAAATTGAAAAAAAATATAATTTCATAAATTATCTCGAATAAAATAAATAATAATCAAAATAATAAAGATCAAATTTAAAAAAAAAGATGAAGAAATTAAAATAATAATAATTAACATTTCATAAAGTATTTCAAATAAAATAAGTAACAATCAAAAGAATGAGGATCAAATTTGATATATAAAAGATTTCAATAAAAAAAAATAATTGAAAAAAAGCAAATAATAATTATAAAAATGAGGATCAAAGTTAATATAAAAATTGAATTTTAAGAAATGAAATTGAAAAATAAATATTCAGAATAAAATATATATTGCAATCAAAAGTTTGAGGATCGAATTTGATATAATCAGCAAAAAATAATATTTTCAAATTTTTCACAACTTTTAAAAATGAGGACCAAAGTTAATATAAAAATTAAATTTTAAGAGATGAAATTGAAAAATAAATATTCAAAACTAAATATATATAGTAATCAAAAGTTTTAGGACCAAAATTGATATAATCAGCAAATAATATGACATTTCTAAATTTTTTACAATTTTTTACAATTGAAAACACTTTTTTGGAAACCAAGCCAAAATTTTCTTTGACTGAAAAGTGTTTTTCATTGACCAAAAAATATTTTTCGGTAACTGGTTATTGTAAGTTAAAGTATTTAAATAAAAAAGGTTTTTTATCCAACATTGAGAAAATATAATTTTTTTTCTTATGTACATGGAATATATATACTAAAGAACTTTAAATCTCACATTGAAAAAATAAAATATTTTTCTAACATTTATACAATGAACTTTATATATATAAAGGGTCTCTAGCTATGAGAAAAAACATATTTGAAAAAAAATAAAAATTAGGTCTCAACCAGATCTCCTAAGTCACGGGTCAACTTATTAGTACTTAAAAGTGCATTTTTATCAAGATTTTATATCATCATTTTGCACTTGAAGTATCAATAACTCCTTAACTAAAGCATGTTTTATAATAACGTATCTAATAATATAAGATACCTTTAATTTAAGGTAAATGTTCATTTTAAATTGAGGCCTATCACATAAATAAAAGGATTGATTGATGACTTGAAGAACTTAAATTGCAAGGATAAAGAGATGGCCAAACTTAGAAAAGAGATGTCGGTGCAATCCAAACCGGAACACTGTTCGGTAATTGGGTCATATCTAGAGCTATATATCTCAGATTTAGGTCCAATTTATATGGATGGAAAGGTAAGACATAGGCCTACAACTTTCATATGGAGCCCAAGATCTAAAAAGGCCATTATCAAGTCCAAATTGTAGCAACAACAAAGAAGCCCGAATCTGTCTTCCAGCCCGAGCACTGTTCGGTATTTTGGCCATATCTGGAGTTCTAGAAGTCCAAATGAGCTGAATGTTTTACACAAGAAAGCTGAGACAATTGCCTACAACTTTCATGTTTGCAACTGGCTCCAATTTTGACGTTATCAATGACGTTTTGGGCAGACAAGAGAAGATAAAGATTGTCACCAAGTCAAAAGTTGGCCACCCACTTATCAATTAGTCATCAAATCAATAGTTCCCATTTTTGGCCTATAAAAGGAGGCATTTGCCATGCATTTAGGCATCTTGGTGTCCAGATCAAGATCATGCTCTTCCTTTCTCTCTTTGTATTTTTTATGCTTTGTTTTCATTAATATTAAGTTTATGCCTTTCATTTCCTTTCCTTTACTTAGTTAACTTTTATGTTCTTATTTTGTTTATCTATTTTGCTTTCTTTCATTATGTCTAGCTAAGTTAATTATGTCAAGGTGAAAAGGTTACACTAATGGTGTAAGAATAAGTATAATGTAAACTTAATATGGACTTTAATGTTTGATACTAACATGTTTTATATTTGTTATCTTGTTCACTCTTTAATACTTTGCTTGTTAAATAACTAATCTTGATTTATGTTGTATAACACTTGGTACAACAAATGCTTGGCACTTTCATAGCCCATAATGTATGGTATAACCGACACCTGAGCTATGAAAGGAACTTGATTTATTGTTAACATAAGTTATAATCATGAATGCTTGACGAGATTTACAAGTATTAGCATTAATTGAATAAGATGACTAATGTAATCATGTTAACAATATATAATCTGATTGGAACCTCCTTTGTGTGTGGTTTCCAATTCAATAATAAGAGTTTATACTATACTTGTTTGATATACCATTAGTGGAACCTCTAACCTTGACATTTGTTATTATCATTGTTTAATCGTTACATTAATATTCCATCTCAAAGTTCTCATCTTCTTCTTCTTCTTCTCCTTCTTTTTCTTTATTATTATTATTATTATTATTATTA